TGCGACGATGTTGTTGTTTTTTCCGCATCGCCTTGTCTCATTGCTCTAATTTGGCAGTTATTTATTTTATTTCTCGGCCTGTGTGCATATTATTTTTACTTATTTTTTTGCTACTCTGCAACGTGGGCAATTATCAGCATTCCGGTATTTGTGCTTCCTCTGCTGTTTGTGGCGCGACATCGTGGTCTCCCCAACTAAACTTACGCGACAATCCAGTACTGACTGATTGTTCATGGAGACGTCGTACCAATGTAAAGAATGTCGACCCGAAAGCCTTTTATGTTTGCCCCTGGTGTTTGCCAACTTCATAAAGAGATTTACCGAACAGAGAGTTTATGCGCTCGAGAAATATCACATGTTTGATATTTTTTATAAAATTTAGAAACCTTTAAATCTTTAAGATTAATGTTCTTATTTTCCCAAAGTGATGAAAATACTGTAGCTTATAAATAAAGCGTATTATTCGGAATTAAAGTACATATATAAAAAGCCAATTTCTCCATTTCTTAGCACATTAATAAATTCCGTAAAAAATTTGCAAGACCCAGCTTTGTCTATGTGTACATTTTATGCTTTTTCCTACGTGTCTAGTTTTTTTTTTTTTTTTTGCTATGCCCCGCTTTTGTTTCTGTTTGATTCCACTGACCCAGAATCTCTGTTTGTAGCCTCAGGCGCTGAAAAGAAAACAAAATCTGTGGACTAATCATTAAAATCAACGGGCAGCGGAATGAACATCTCACAAGCTTGGGGACAGCAGATACATAATAAAGAAAATAAAGAAAAAAAAATAAAGAATCAAGAATCAAGAATCCAAGCGCTGATCGTCGTCGTCATCATCGCCGCCTTCGCTTTTGTTTTCGCTTCCACATTATTTCTTGTTCTAATTTATGTCTCTCTGAATATGTGGAAAAAAAAAAAATAATAATTTGCGCCCAGTAACAACAAGAGGCAAATCAAATGAATTGAAATTTTCTTGAGAATGTATCGCTGAATCGTGACAAATCAACCTATTTTCCCAGTGTGGGTTTTACGTTTAGTCAACTCCAATTAAAGTGAACTGCATTCGCGATTCGATCGGTGAACGAATCTCTGCCATTTATTTCCAATTTCGCTTTCAACATGGCCAGTAAATAAAAGGCTGCTGGCCTTGCCTCAGGGTGATCCCTCAGATTTAACTGATTTTTGCTCTTATTTCATCGGCGTTTCTCGTTTTTGTATCTATCTTCTTTATCGCTCAACGAAAATTGGAGTGAAACTTGCTGTTGGTTCCAAAAAAAAAAAAAAAACATCAGCAATCATTGTATAACAGATGAACAAATATATAGTCTTAAATATCATTGTAATTTATGGGTAATCAAAAATATGTAAAACAGTTGTTTTCAGGGTTCATAAAAGCTTTTATTCAGATATAACCATATTAAATTATATAAAAGTTTAAATACCATGTTTTAAAGAAAACGTATACGTTTCAGACGAAAAAGATTAGCTTAAATTAGTACTTAAATTTTTGGATTTGCCAGCTATCAAAGTTGTACAATTTTGAAGGTGGTAAGAGAGTTTTAAAAGCAAACTTAAGTTGTAGGGAATTTCAAATAAATTAAAAAATATAGAATGGCATAATGTTGGACAATGTTCTAACAATATTATGAATTCAATTTTCCAAAACATTTTTGATATCACACTTGTTTTATGAGCCTGACAGTAGAGACCTTGACTTCTCAAAGCCATAATTGTGTATTAGCTCAAACCCCTGAAAGCTGTTAAAATTAAATCAATAATAATAAACTTGACGAAGGCGTTCAGAACCTCACACCCCAGAGACCGATGGTACTGTAATGGCACTATGAATAGATGACATGCAACATGCAATTCTGCAAAGGGGAAAAGCTGATGGAAATTTGAATTACTACTTAGTGTCCTAGTACCGCTCATTTTCCATCTCGCTTCCACCTGCACGGTTGACAGATTTCGACGAGCACTCAACGAACCATTTAAACACGTATTAAAAACCCATCATCAGCTGAAATGGACAATCTGTTCACTGACCATATAGTGGCAGTCAGTCGTACAAAGTACGTATTTAACATTTATAATTTCAATATAATTTTCAGGGCTAGTTGAGCATTAAATTCGTGTTGCAATTGCACTGGCTTTGGCCTGGTTAAACGATTCAACTGTGATAAGCCGACAAAGATTTATTGATAGACTTAATGTAACTCAAACTATTTGATTACATTTTAATACGATGCTGATTTATTTTGTATCAAGCTTATAAACTGTAACAGCACTTGAAGGATAACTATGATTTTTATTTTAAATTTTCATTAAGATTTGGTTTTAACCTTTGAAACAAAAGGGTTTTTGTTTAAAATAAATGTAATACATTGTAAAATAAAGCCACAGCTGTCTTAAGTCTTTGGCGTTCAAGCCATATAAGTATAGTATATATTGTTCCTTTGTGTGTCTAGCATTTCAGTATGAGCCCCAAGTATGAACAACACAAACTGTCCTTGACCAAATGTGCGACTATGAAACGAAACATACAAATTGGCAATATTTCTATTCATGCCACTAGTTGCGTTTCTGTGCGGGTGAAAAAAAGGTGGTGTCTGGGATATGTGGGGCTGGGGCCCTAGAACAATGTTGACCCATTTGGGTGAGGTCTCATTGTTAATTTAGGCATTGCGTACATATTTACATTGAGTGCAGCACCAGTCACAGTGGAGCTGGGCAATTAATTTAATCGTGATTGGGGGATTTCTTTTAAAGAAGAAAGGAAATACTCTTATCATATATTGCTCATTTAAATAAAATTAATTTCGGAGAAACCTTAAATCTTATCAATTTTTTTTCCAATACCTTGAACTTTTTATTTACGTAAGTAGAAAAATTAAATGAGTCAACAGTTATTGAACAAATAAACAGAGTCTAAACCAAATTCAGTTAAATAAATTTAAAATACTTTTTTTATGTTTCTGTAATATTTTTGTTTTACATTTAAACTTAAGACCTGTCATACTGTTTCGTAGGTCTGAACTTTCTGTCAGCTTTCGTACACCTCCCCCATTTTCGGGCTCGGCTTTCACCAAATATCGTGCTGTGCATACGAAAAAAAAAAAAAGAAATAGCGAAATGGTGAAGGGAGTAATGAATAGATTCGAAATAGAAGCAAATGTGTCAATAACCAGGCAAACTTCCAACGGGCATTTTGAGGCTTGCCGCATTCGGTGGCATTATTCTGTTGACATTCGTGTGGCTAGCATGATGCCATTATCATGTTTATCGAGCGCAACAGTTGTTTTCTTTTTTTTTTTTTGTCAAACATTACTGTGTGTGGTACACAAACATATTATTGAGGAAAGCCGCCCATGATTTTATCTATCCATGAGGCATTTAAAAAAAAAAAAAACTGGAAATAAAACTGTTGGTAATTTAAAAGCATGTACACATTGTTTCCCCTTAAGTTTAAAAATAGAAAAAAACGACTAGACATTTTAAAATATTTGCTGACAGCAGATGTCAAAATATACAATATGGTCGAATTTTGTTCAAATGCTATTAAACAAAACGTTTGACTTCCACAAATATAATGACCAACATAGTAAAAATACTATTTTACTGTTATGTATACATAAATATATATTTAAAGAAACATTTTCGTTTAGTAATGAACCATACAAATTATGATTTGTTTTAACTTTAGCATGGCATTAGTTAGTTAATTTATTAACACAAATGACCATTTAGAAAGTACAAATACTTTTATAAAATCAAAAAAAAAAAAACCGAGACATCAATATTTATTATATAAACTAGCAATCTCTCTCTAATTGATTGTAAAAGTTGATTTCACTTAATTCCACGTGTGCCGTAATTATTGCACCCCACTTATAAGGTGGTTCAACTGTGAAAATAAAAACAAACTATCCCACGTATCACCAGTTCACGCACGCCAACAAAGCGACAGGTTTTTCAACTCTTGTAGAGTCGACAAATAAAATAATAATATAACGTAGGAAAGCTTTTGCAACTGCAGATCTTTGAATGTTACGAATTAAGAACGAACCCATGTTGACCTTTTCGATCTTCTCGTATTTTGCTATTGCAATTTTTACGAGAGAAGTACCCATCTAAAAAAAAAAACCTTTCCCCGTAATTCATCGAAGTCGACGTCGACCAAAACCGAAATTGAAACCGAGAGAGTGGAAATAAAATATTTGCTTCTCTTCTCTTCGGCTTGTTCCATTTGCCACTACGTTCCGCTGCAGTTGTTGCTAAGCTCGAAAAAAGCTTCTCCGATTTAGAAGAGCTTTTCAAGCTTGCAAGCGTTTTTTTTTGGCGCCAAAATATATTGATGAACGGGATTGGTCGCTTTTGAAGAAGAGTGTTTTCATGGAGTCCTTAGGAATTTTTTATGATTATAGTTTAAATTTATCATTTGTATTTTTTATATACTGTGGTTATATAGTAGTTGGAAAATTTTAAGTTTTGGCAAAGATAAACTTTTAATTTATTTTAAAACGATTTGAAACATTTGATTTATTGCAATTCAATATTGTACAAAGATAGTACATGTACATGTCCTTTCAACTTTATGATATGATATAAAAGGTGGCGAGTCTGTATAGAGTTTCTATAGAGAAGGGCATCCCAAGTTCTTTGGGTGCACCATTGCCCGACCATTTCCTTCGACAGCTCTCGACTTTTCGATTTCTGCTCGTTTCTTCACTCGAACTAAGCCGAATTAAACCGATTCGCCGTCGGCTGGTTGTTCGGGTTTCGGTTTCTGTGGGAATCACAGGATGAAGGAGTGTGTCTGGGGGGGGGGTCGGGGAACTAAGCCATACTGTCTGGCTGCTCTGCAGCTGATATTTTAGCCACCGCTGCCGCTGCTGCTGCTGCTGGTGGTGCTACTATTGCTGCCTTTGCTGCTTTTACGCTGCCCTGTGGACTTGGGCTTCTTGTGGTGTCGTTCGGTTGCGGTGCGTTTAATGTCTCGCCTGCGCTGGAAGCGTCAACTCCTTTTTTGGACGCGCCACGCGTCGTATGCGCAACGTACGAGTATATCACGTATATCACGTATACGCCACCGTAAACGACACAGACTATTTACGTTTTGCCATTTGTTTGACGACATCGCGCGTGTGCCTGTTTGCTTGCTTGTTTGCCCGTTCCGTTTTTGCGTGACTCTGTCCGTATTTTTGTGTCAGTGTTCAAGGCTACACCTGCTGCAGGTTGAATGCAGTTGCAGCATCCGCCACCGCCAATGGCTACTTTAATACGATACTGATACGCGGACAGTGGTCGCCCGCTAATTAGAAAGGCCACTAATCGGAGATCTCTTGCATATAATAATCCAAAAAGTTTTAAATAATTACTTTTATGCAACTAATAAACAACATTTATTCTAGAGAAAATATTTATTATTATTTTTTTTTTTACTACAAAAATTTAATCAAAACTAGGTATACAAATTTACGAGCCTTTAACTAAAAAAAGTATAATATCAAAGTTTAGATTAGTTAAATTCGATCACAGTATGAACATTTTTTTTTTTTAGAAAATATGGACTTTTAGTGGTTGCCCTAAAACTACCAACAAACTACATAAATTGCTTTAAAATAGTTTGTTTACTGTTATAATTGAACCATGAGTTAATGAACAGTAGAGTTTTTGACTATTTTGAGTCAAATTCTACAAATATCTAATGTATTTAAGTTTAAGTTTTAAATTTAAATCCAGAAATGATCGTTTTATATTTAATTTTGGTTGATTCAAGTAAACGAAAATAAATATTGATGACACAAATAAAAACAATTAAAACCGTTTCGGAAAAAGATTTTAAAACCAACCCATAAAATTACCATACAAATTATAAACTTTGATTAAAGCCATAAAGCTTAATTAATAAGTGGGATTCTACTGCACATATAGACTCATAATTTAAGTTGTTGTTGCTCCAGTTGTTGTTGTTTTTGCCATTGTTGTTGTTGTTTCAGTGGCCAAAGAAGGAAGAAAGCGAACTTATTGTTTGCTTGGCCATTAATTGTGGCCAACGCTGGCGAAGCGGAAACGGAAGTGCAATGTGTTGATGACACCATATCTTCTTTTTTTTTCGGTTACCCCTTTTTTTTTATTTGTGTGTGCTTGCATTGGAAAATGCAACAAGGGAAAATACGGACAATTATGGGCGCAAGAAAAAGTTATTATTGTAGTTTCTGGTGTCCCTAATGAATACATTTTCATCCTGTGACATCTCTGATTTAATTAAGATGCCAAACTCCATAATTGAATAGTGCTTCAATGTTTAATTAATATGTATCTTGCCAAAAAAAAAAAAAACAAAATGATAATTGAATACGATTAACAACGGCTTTTCATCACAAAAAACGAAGAAATCATTTTCTGTAGATTATTTTGAATTAAAATATATTCTTATTGAAAAGTTATTATTTACTCAATACAAAGATAAAAAATTGGTTTATAAAAATACGGGGAATTAACTTTGTAGATCAAGTGGAACTTGTAAACAGTAATTAGAAAATGTCTTTTGTTCATTTTTCTTTGTATAAAAGAAATAATCCCTTAGAGTTTCCCAATCTCTTTAAAACTTTATTAACAGAATTGTGCATAATCAGAACACTCTTAACATTATGCATTTTAATCAAGCGAATTCCACTTAAAATTCTGTGATACACTGGACAAAGTGTAAAACAACTTTGAGTCCCTTGTGTAATAATGAGAAAAACAGCAGGAAGAAAGATTTAGGGGAAATGGGTAGCCCCTCAGCAGGGTATGAACAAAATATACATATAAATATGAGCTAAAACTAAATCCAAAAATTCGCGCAGCAGGCAAGAAAAATTCTTCACACGCGCGAAAATTTCGCAGCGGCAGTAAATAAAACAAAAAAAAAAGAAAAACTAAAAAAACAAAAAAAAAAGGGACAAAGAGAATGGGGTCTTTGGGTAACCGAGATAGCTGCATAAAATGTACGAAAATAAAAACACGTTGGAAAATTTCGCATAAAAATCTCGGTCCTAGACAAACTCTGCATGGGTTTTGCTTTTGTGTTTGAGTGTGTGTGCGTGTGTGGCCACAAGGGGTTACATTTGACTACACACACACACACACACACTGTTCACAAATACACTTACTCACTGGCATCCACACATGCATATGCCCACAAGCGGCTTTCACGCATTGAAAGTAACGCATAATGCGTCATTTTTCACTTGAGCAACATAATAACTAGGCGAAAGACAGCGAAAAAGATGGTGGAAATTGTGGGGTGCACTGTATACAGTAAAAGTTCTTTAATGTGGTCTTACTTGCTTTTTTTTTAGTAACAAAAAAAGAAATGAAATCCAATTAAAAGTATGGCCCTCTTTAGCTTAGAATGTGTGATTATCTTAATGGGTAAGGTTGAAATAACAGACGGCTGGCAAACGTGTACGTACAATAGAAAATAGAAAAGTTACAAATAATACGCAAGTCATTGTTTTAGGATAAATGTAGGTTATTGTTGTGAAGCAATTTTGTGAATAACCATTCAAAGTAAGTGAGAGCAACTGATGTTTTTGATTTGTCGTTCCCAACTCTGTTGAATTTTCTACAACTTGTGCATATCTGCGCATTACTTTTCCAAATCCAAAAGATCTTCAATGACCTTTTCCTCATCTTTCTTTTACTAATTTCATGCGAAATCCTTCCCCAAAATGTAATGAACAAATTTTCCAGTTGAGAACCCAAACTCGCAAGGATTATTTGCTTTCCGTGTGCGATGGAGAGAAGTGACCTGCCCAGGCTTTCAATCCCCCACACCAGAAGTGCATCTTTCGGCATTGCATTTGAGGCTAGACAAAGGCATATCATGTTCTTAGCCAAGTCGCCTCCTTTGGGCCAAGTAGTCTGTTTGTTTACAGGCAACCCGAGTGCACTTAAGCGGTGATACGAGCGGCAAGAGCGTAGAAAATGGAGAAAAATGGGTGAAGCAAAATAAAAAACAGAGGCAGAAAGTGGAGAGGATGGCTAAGACCCAGACAATCCACTTGATGCTGCCAGCTCAAAGAAGTTGGGTCGACTAAAATCGAATTTTCGAAATTTGAAAAGCGGAATCGTTTGCCCATTTTTTGCCCACTTTTGCCCACCAATTAGTTTTTTTTGCCCACCCCCAGTTTTGAAAATATGGGAAGTTCGAAAATTTTCGAAGATTTTCGAAAACATAAAAGTTGACTTTTTTAAATTTTTTTTTTTTTAATCGCAAGAGAATCGTTTGCCCACGTTTGCCCACCTTTTAGAATTTTGAAAAAGTAAAAACTTTAAAAAATATTGAACTTTTAAGTTTTCATAACTTTTTACCAAATAAAAAATCATTTGCCGAAGGCAAAAAAACAATTTTTTCGAAAAAATAAAAACTGCCCATGTTTGCCCACCTCTTAAAATTTCAGAATCTAAAAAAAAATTCGTTTTTCCACCTCTTAAAATATGATTTTTTAGCAAAAAACGTTTGCCGACGGCTTTTAAACAGCCTTGTCCGAAAAAAAAATTTGCCCACCCATTAAAAATAGTTTTTTCAAAAAAATAAAAGATGCCCATGATTGCCCACCTCTTAAAATTTAAGAATTTAAAAAAAAATCGTTTGCCCACCTCTTAAAAATATGTTTTTTCAACAAAAAACGTTTGCCCACCTCTTAAAAATTAATTTTTCCGACAAAAGTCGTTTGCCCACCCCTTAAAAATAGTTTTTTCGAAAAAATAAAAACTGCCCATGTTTGCCCACCTCTTAAAATTTAAGAATTTAAAAAAAAAATCGTTTGCCCACCTCTTAAAAATTAGTTTTTTAACAAAAATCATTTGCCGACGGCTTAAAAATAGCTTTTTTCGACAAAAGTCGTTTGCCCACCCATTAAAAATAGTTTTTTCAAAAAAATAAAAGATGCCCATGATTGCCCACCTCTTAAAATTTAAGAATTTAAAAAAAAATCGTTTGCCCACCTCTTAAAAATATGTTTTTTCAACAAAAAACGTTTGCCCACCTCTTAAAAATTAATTTTTCCGACAAAAGTCGTTTGCCCACCCCTTAAAAATAGTTTTTTCGAAAAAATAAAAACTGCCCATGTTTGCCCACCTCTTAAAATTTAAGAATTTAAAAAAAAAATCGTTTGCCCACCTCTTAAAAATTAGTTTTTTAACAAAAATCATTTGCCGACGGCTTAAAAATAGCTTTTTTCGACAAAAGTCGTTTGCCCACCCATTAAAAATAGTTTTTTCAAAAAAATAAAAGATGCCCATGATTGCCCACCTCTTAAAATTTAAGAATTTAAAAAAAAATCGTTTGCCCACCTCTTAAAAATATGTTTTTTCAACAAAAAACGTTTGCCCACCTCTTAAAAATTAATTTTTCCGACAAAAGTCGTTTGCCCACCCCTTAAAAATAGTTTTTTCGAAAAAATAAAAACTGCCCATGTTTGCCCACCTCTTAAAATTTAAGAATTTAAAAAAAAATCGTTTGCCCACCTCTTAAAAATTAGTTTTTTAACAAAAATCATTTGCCGACGGCTTAAAAATAGCTTTTTTCGACAAAAGTCGTTTGCCCACCCATTAAAAATAGTTTTTTCAAAAAAATAAAAGATGCCCATGATTGCCCACCTCTTAAAATTTAAGAATTTAAAAAAAAATCGTTTGCCCACCTCTTAAAAATATGTTTTTTCAACAAAAAACGTTTGCCCACCTCTTAAAAATTAATTTTTCCGACAAAAGTCGTTTGCCCACCCCTTAAAAATAGTTTTTTCGAAAAAATAAAAACTGCCCATGTTTGCCCACCTCTTAAAATTTAAGAATTTAAAAAAAAATCGTTTGCCCACCTCTTAAAAATTAGTTTTTTAACAAAAATCATTTGCCGACGGCTTAAAAATAGCTTTTTTCGACAAAAGTCGTTTGCCCACCCATTAAAAATAGTTTTTTCAAAAAAATAAAAGATGCCCATGATTGCCCACCTCTTAAAATTTAAGAATTTAAAAAAAAATCGTTTGCCCACCTCTTAAAAATATGTT